TAGGAAAAGGATCTTGGTGTAATAGTCAATCAGTCTCTAAAGCCATCCAAGCAGTGTGTTGTTGCTAGTGGTTGGGCAAATAGGATTTTAGGTTGTATCTATATAAATATCGAATACAAGTCTAAAGAGGTTATACTTTCATTGTACAGGTCACTGGTTCGGCCACGTTTGGAATATTGTGTTCAGTCTTGGGCACCTTACCTTAGGAAGGACATTGAATTGTTGGAAAGGGTTACTAGAATGGTGCCTGGGATGGAGGGGTTATCATATGGAGAGAGATTAAGGCCTCTGAAATTGTTTTATCTTGAAAAAAGGAAAGTTAGGGGGAATATGATTGAGCTGTTTAAGATTGTAAAGGGAATTGATGCATCATCTTTATCATATTTAACTATGAGAATAGTAGGACTAGGGGACACAAATATAAATTTTGGCAATGTAGGAGTCACCTTCAGCTAAGAGTTTTATTTTTCTAACAGGGTGGTTGGCCTTTGGAATGGGTTGCCTTCAGATGTTGTTGAGGCAGTAAATTTATGCGAGTTTAAGAAAAAAGCTTGATAAGTATATGAATGAAAAGGGCTGGTTTAAATTTTTTTTAATCATTTTAATTAGTTTTGAGGATGGAACAGCCGCGATGGACCAGTAGGTCCCATGTTATCCCAAAATATAATATTATATGATTGATGATATAACATGTAGGATATGTCACTGGGCTTGAATTTTATGTTGCTGAGAATTAACAATAAATTACTGACCTTGTATTATATTTAAACTCTATAATGATGTCTTTAAATGTAAATAAGCTAACTTGAATGTGCAGGGAATGGGTAACCAAATTTTACTTTTAGTAATAAAATAAAACAAACCTTCATTTCCAGAACATGTTCCACTAAAACATATACTACGTTCCACATCACTAGTGGCAATGTCAGTGACACTACCTTGCTCTAAATTTTCATCACTGAGTTTGACACGACTTATAAAGCATCTTATTGGCAAGGTGTAACCGTTCCTGTCAATCCAGTGTTTTCTATGATACAATTTCATCAGTTCCTGAAATCTCGAACTTCTAACTTTAACAACACAACAACAAGTTAAATTACTCGTATTACTGGTAGTACAACTACTAATAGTAGACCTTGTTTCGGTAAAATTTGGGCCAGCTGTATAAAATTCATACGCAGCGTCGCTGTTTACCGTGCTAGTACTAGTATTATTACTATTAGTCGCGTTGGGATCATTGGACGTAACTTTAGGCCTAGATGAGTTCGTAAAAGATCCACTATCCATGCGATATTGCCGCTTCTGAATCTCGGGTCTATGCCTGAAGTGAAAGCATTCAAACCCATTAGTTTCTACAAATTGTGAAAAGAAATTCCTTAAATCCGATGAATGATACACAAACGGGATATTGTTTACAACAGCGTAAATATAACTGAACACCATACTTCAGATAAACTCTTGTGTTGTAACATGCTTGTGACGCAGTAATATTAGACTGAAATTGTAAAATTTAGTTGCGGTTTTTACTATTAAAACAAAAATAGAGCTCTTCAACAAAATACGTTAAACTGTTTTGATATAAAATTAATAAATTATGTTAGTAGTTTTAAATTATTCTGAAATTTGTTTGATTGTTTGCTATTATAAATATTTTTTAAATAATCTAAAAATAATAGAATTTTTCACAATAGTTTAACACTCCCTTAAATCTGGTAACTTTGACTCATGAGGGCGCAATAGTCAGATTGTAAGTTCTGGCTGAGATATCCTATACGATTCACCGGCGGGAGTGAAAGAGCAAGTAAACGTTTATCTTGTCGATAACGGGTTTGTTCCCTATAATCTACAGTATAAAGTTATGGAAAATTTTATGTGATATTTTTAACCAGTTAGCTTACTAAACATTTAAGGTAAGTCTTCTTTTGTATAAAGTAACGTGTAAGATCACGGAAATACGCGTTATAGTTGTATAGTTTAATAATATGAAATTTATATCACTGTTCATAATAATAATTAATACAATAACACTTAATAGATTTGACTTTCAAACACTTGTTAATTTTTGTACTTCCGCTACTGTCTTATGAATATTCTTAAAGCGTCATAAGAACATAAAGTTTTTATGTTTACACGTATTTTTTTTTCTTTTTCAAAAACAGGTCCATTTCACCCAGCAGAGTACCTCTACTTTTTTTGAAAATTTCGCTCCTGTAATACAGAATAAATTCACACATCTAAATGAAAACTTTTTCTAGTTGCGACGTTTCGAGCAGACGCCCTCTGTCAAGCAGTAAAGACTATGTTACAATGGAACTAGAAAAAGTTTTCATTGAAACGTGTCTATTCATTCTCCATTATCATTTATCCAAGTTTTTCTTCTTACGTCTTGCGGAACAACACTCATTCAAGAATTTCTATCACAATTACATTTGTATCTCACTCTCGATGCTCTAAATAACAGGTTAGATTATGAAAAACATCTCAATACACTTTACGCTTAAATCCTATACGGAAAATTTAACGTATTACTATAGCAGTATAAGATTTTATAAATAGTGCTTTGGAGACTGTATCTAGCTAAAGTGCATTTTGTTTTTTCTGGACTGAATTAAATTTTTTGTCATTCATTAGTCTGGAAAAAAATTATGTTCTTATGACCAGTACCGGTGAGCACCGTCAGAATTTCACCCTTGCATTATTATCATGTAATTATGATAGGTATTTCAAGCTTGACAAACACCAGATGACGATGACATTATTTTGAAAGCCTATATAAAAGCTGAGCAACCAAATCTTCAAATTTAACATTACAAGACGCCTTGGTTTATTGATCCAGATATAAAGTTATAGATTTACAACATCTGTTGTTTCTGTGATCGTTGAATTACATTATCCACCGTCCTTACTTATGATTGCAAAATTAGAAAAAAAACAAAAAACATCCGTATTATGACTGTGGAACAGTCATTATCATTCGTGAGCGTAGTTCAAAATTAATATGCTTGCAGTAATTAGATGTGCATATCCTAACCACGCCTTATCATTTTTGTTCTGAAAATTCGATCTATTTCTTCAGGTAAGGCTATTTTTTCATTTGCATGGTACCGAACTGTAATAAAATACAATATGGAATTTGGTTCATTAATATCAAAGTAAATAAAACATTCTCTGTAGTTATCAGTTATTTGTTTGTACTCTGTAATATGTCTACTTCTCATGCAGTAATTAGACCATATATATATATATACTTATCAGTCTATCTTGAAAGTGTGACATACAAGTTAATCAAAGCACTTATAATGTTTTACATTTACTTTTCGGCAGAGGCGTCGCTAGGTACTTAAAAATAATTCGGGGCTTGGGCCCATAGGCGAGGGAATTTTTGGCGTTTAAATGTTATATCAATCATGGTTTTCTTTTTGATTTTTTTAAGACACCAACTGGGAATTCGAGGCACTGTCAAGTAGAATCGGGGCACGGGCTCCGTGTGTCAGCACCTAGCGATACCTCTGCTTTTCGGAGCATGAAAACGTGTTACTTGCTCTTCCATGTAATAAAAATAATTTTTAATCAAATATTTGTTATGTCAGTAATAAACCCAGTACTGGCGCTTTAAAAAGTAATATGTATATAAAAAAGTTATTCAGTTTATACGTGAAATTAGGTGTCTTTCATAACCAAACTTTCAGAATGTCAGAGAACACTCTGGCTGTTTCTGATCCTTAGTGTCCATTGGTAGAGCTATCTCAGGCCTCACAGTACACTCACACTGCCACTTTCTTTCAGGAGCTGGCGTCAGGCAACATGCGACCGTTCAAGCTCAAGAGCATGTGCCACAACATTGAAATAACCAATTTTTTATCATATGAGTTATTAACACACAAATATGGTATTAAAACACAATAAAATACATTTTACAATTATACTGCTTGTTTAAAACGTACACGTTTACATAATATTCATGTTGGCAAGATAAGTGGTATTCAAAGTATTATAAAAGCCAAAATTGTTACCATAATTGAAGTTGATAGAGATTAAAACTATGGTATATATATATAGTAACCAGTTAGTTTTTTCCCTTGCTACTTAGTTTAAAGAATGTTGCTTTTTTTTCGGTCGTATATACATATTCGATTTAGTACTATTGTAAATGGTCTCAGCTTATTAGTATTTCGTACATTTCCTTTATTTAAAATGGACTAACAAAAACGTAAATTATGTTTTAAATATAAAATCTTTACTCCGGTAGTGACGTCACACGGTTAAAAAATTTTGGCAGGGCTCCGGCACTATAAAATTTAGCTTCGTGCCACTAGTTAAGAAACTGACATGCTAATACAAAAAAAAAAAATACACACGAAGAAAGGGTATGTTGACAAAAAAAACACACTTATATTTGTCATTGTGTCTTGCTTATAGAGGAGTTCTGGAATATATTCCACGTAGCACATAAGTGTGTTTTCTGTGTATGTGCAACCTGTTTTACTCACTGGATTCTGTGTGTATGTGTTCTCTAAGGAAATCGACATCACCTTGTGGGTCCCCCGGTGGGCCAGCGGTAAGTCTTCCGATTTACAACACTAGAATCACGGGTTCGATTATCTTCGGTGGACACAGCAGACAGCCCGATGTGGCTTTGCTATTAGAAAATACACAAATACACATCACCTTGTTTCGGGGTTTGATTTTTTTGCGGAATTCTAGCTTTGTTGGATGCTGAATTAATTGATAATAAACAGATGTTTCGCCTTTCAGTTTTACTGGCCCCCCCAGTGGCACAGCGGCATGTCTGCGGACTTACAACGCTAGAAACCGGGTTTCTATACAGATAGCCCATTGTGTAGCTTTGTACTTAACCTCAAACAAACAAACAAACAGTTTTACTGATTTTTTTTCAACGAAAATGGTGGTATTACTAGTGTCATATAACATCAAACTAAAGCGTTGCATTATATTTAAAACAATACAACAGAACTTGTGTATTTATTACATATACAGTATAGTAAATTAAAAAAGTTCAACTTTGTTAATAAGCACACATACCTATATTATATACATATTGGATACATTTTCAGTTTACTTTCAATGAACTTTGTAGTAAACATTGGTGCAAAAAGTGTTGTTATTAAAGCTTGCCCAAAATGGTGGAATATATTCTTATCAGCCTGTCTCGAAAGTGTGACATACAAAGAACAGCTGCCACGTATACCGTGTAGAGGGCGATATTCCGGAACTACTAATAATAAACTGAATTCTACCTTCATCTACGTCGTGTCTTTATCACGTTTCTCACAGATGATCTTGGCAAATGCGTCACCATATTAAAAACTAATAGGGTATTACGATCTTATTGACGGTTTATGTCAAGATGCACCTTGTTTAAACGATTTATACAATTGTCATGCGACATCATTACATTAAGCTTAAGATTTTGTTTGAAGTTAAGCACAAAGCTACACAATGGGCTATCTGTGCTCTGCCCACCACGGGTATCGAAATCGTTATAGCGTTGGAAGTCCGCAGATATGCCACTGTGGGGCTAGGCTGAAGAAGTCAGAAAAATACGTAGGTTCAAAAGGTCTAAATATAAGACGATAAAAACCCTATAACTTGAGCGCTTTCGAAAGATGGACGTTTCTTCTTCAGGGGTAAACTCCCCTTAAGAAAAGAGGTTAACTTATCGAAAGCGCTCAGGTTATATGGTTCTTATCGTTTTATATTAGGCTTAAGAAGTTAGTCAATCGTGAAGCAAGATAGTGAATATCCTTGGGAGTATTTCTGGAGACAAGAAAGTTAAAACCAATCGGTATACGAACCTGCTACTCTATCGGTCACAGGTTCGAATACTGTCCGGGTTCAGTTTTCACTTCTTCAGAAATACTTTTAATCTCACAGGATGGCGTACTACCCTTATTGTTTTTACATAAGAAAAATCCTTACAGTTTGCCCATAGGAATGTACATAAGGCTTACAACACCTATAAATAAATTCTGAACTCGTTACCAACGTTACCGCTTACTAATGTTAGGAACGTTAATTTAGTAACTTAGTTTGTTCCGGGAAATGATGTCTGTTTATTTTAAATTGAGAAGTGTAAACTTGGTGAGCGTCATCAGTGATTTATGACAGTATCACATGGAACATACTACTTGTCATGTCATGTATGACTAGTTGCGTAATATTGACTTCTATAACTTTTTTTTTCTTCTGTAATATCATAACTTAACATCAACAGAGGATAGTTTAGTAATATACCTGTAAAAATAGTTTAAACAAAACATAATCTTGATCAAGAACGTCATTTCATTAAAGGCTTGTGGGGAAAAGGGGGAGAAGATAACTGGCACTGCGTAATTCGTCCAGTTCGGCGTAATTTGCGTATATGTATTGATCTGACCTGACGAGAGCTTGAGGGACGGCTGAACGTGGATGAAATAATCGCTATTTTTTTACTTTTACTTTTTTAGATTTTTCTTCAGAAAGGTGGAACTTGTATAAGCTGCATAGGATACTTTTGTTATTTTTCAAGAGAAGAATTTATTTGCACAGACAGTTGGAATTAGGATTAGAGTAAATTAATCTATGTGACCTTTTTTTTTCTTATTATTAGCCAGCAATACCAAGCTTAGGGTGCGCGTATACCCGCTTCGATTTTATTACTCATCAGGATATCTACTAGTCTACCCTCAAATTGAAAATATTTTTGGTGGGATTAGATTAAATTGATCTATGAGACTTTGGGCGTGGTGAAATACATCAATCGAAAGGACTTGACCTCCAGGGTTTAAAACTGTAATTACATCTGTAATGAAAGTTAGCAGTCACCAGTACTGAACTGACTTTAAAGGTTGAATATGATTGGTTGTCTTTGTTGTTGTTTTTTTGTGTGTGTGTCTAAGACAAATTAGTATCTGCTTGTCCTAATTACAAAGCTGTACTATTTTCTAAATTTGGCAATTCAATCTGTGCAAGTCCAGTAGGGATAAAATAGTTTATCTCACAAGTTGCAGGATGTTCCAGTTTAGTGTAATACTTGCCTTTTGTACTTTGAAATGCCCTAGTTATTGAATCTGAAATCTGATTATTGGACATTTTTTATTCTTGAGTCATGAGGAACTAATGTTCTTCCATTTTCATATATTAGGAACTAAATATCAAATAATACAAGATTGTTGCTGTTGTAAACATTTACAATGGTATGGGTCTAAGAGACCTACCACTAGAAACTGAAGAACTGGTGAAAGACATGGCATGATGTGGCTATTTCTAAAACGAGGCCCTTGACTTTATACATAGCATTAGGAGTGACTCCATGAGGCTGGCATGGCCTGGTGGTTAGGGCACGTGACTTGCAACCTGAGGGCTACGGGATCGAAACCAATCGACACCAATCATGCTCAACCTGTCAGCCATGTGGGCTTTATAGTGTTACGATCAATCCCACCAATCATTGATAAAGAGTTCGCGGTGGATGGTATTGACGAGCGTTTTCTCTTTAGTCTATTACTTCAAATTTAGGGGCAGCTACAGCAAACAGCCCTCGAGTAGCTTTGCGCGAAATTCAGTAAACAACAATAATAAAGGTCGTCTTGATTTGTGTCAGGTGTGGGGTGGGAATGTTTCTAAGAACAATAACACAGGTAGGCCTAAGTAAGCCGTGAGTCAATAGCAGCCCAGTTCCAGTACATGGTCAATAAGAAGGCTCGTGGCACATCGAAGAAAGAAACGCATTAGTAAATGAAAGAGGTTATGAATATAAAACTTTAACTTTCGGCTGTTTGTGCAGCACCAGATTTATTTATTTTTATTTATGATTACTAATTTCAATCGTGCAGCGTCTCTTTAATCTTTTTCTTTTAGCCTAACTTCACCAGATGTATATTCAAAAATGACTTATAAAAATATGAACCTGAATTTATCTGTGATAAGCTTGAGTGCAGGACAGGGTTTCACAAGTGGTTCAGCAACACGTAAACACATAATGATTGAATACAATACACGACGTGTACGTGTACATTTAATTGTTTAGAGGTCGCGTTGGAAACATTGAAGTCACAAGCAGTGACGTTATTTGTTGAATTTGTACTTTCTAAAGGTCAATTCTGCAAGGAAAAATAGCCGAGAAGTGACCTGTGAACGCTGTTAGGTATTTTTCTTTTATAACAACTAAATAAAACTAGTTTATACAATGTACAGAGTGAACTGAATTAAAACGTGGTTGATGAGAACATAACTAGTTTAGTGTCATCGTGCGTGTGTTCTTGTTTGTTGAAATTGTGCAGCAAGTGCGTTGATTCAAACACAACAGTTTTGGTTCTCACGTGCATAGACATAAAACACAAAGAATACCAATAAAAACGCTAAATCAAGTGCACTGGCCTATAACTTGTTCAAAATACGAAAACTGTAGCTTTTAAAAGAGTCTTTTGCAAGTTAGTTTAATTTTTTAGCTGCGGCATAACGGCTCATAGAATGGCTCTGAGTTTGTTGTTTTTTTTAAGCTGGGTAAAACTTCTTTCTCCACTAGCGGTGATGTGTAAAGTCAGGACAATTCCAATGCTCGTTTCAAAGAAGACACCTGTAAAGTACAGGAAAATGAACATTAGCTGTGTTTCTGTAGTTGCCGAAATATTTCCTTCACGGATTCAATTTTGTTAAGAAAAATACGCCTTAAAGCTTTTCTATAACTTGAGGACAGTTTCATCATAAATTTTTAGCCGCGGCATAACGGCTCACAGAATGGCTCCGAGTTTGTTTGTTTGTTTTCCTTTTTTTTTTTTTTTTCAAGTACAAACTTTTAGCTCATAGCTCCGTCATCTCTTTACCTATTTGATATCTAATTACAGTTTTGGACTCAGGAAGTCAAATCCTTTCGATTGGTGTATTTCACCACGCCCAAAGTCTCATACATTAATTTACTCCAATCCTGTTTAAAAGAATTTCAATTTGAGGGTAAACTACTAGAGATCCTGATGGGTAATAAAATCGAATCGGATATACGAGCGCACTATGCTTGGTATTGCTGTCGCACAAAAATATACCTAATAAAAAGAAAAAAAAAGGTCTCATAGATTAATTTACTCCAATCCTGCCTAAAAGAATTTCAAGTGCCGCGGCTATTAAGGATTCCCCCTGTTCTTTTAGAAATGGTTGTACAAGTAACTATTTTTAGAGCAAATAAAATAATTTCAAAATCTAACTTTCATACACGGTAGACATCTATAATTTCTATACTCAGTGAAAGTTGCTGTTCTAAGCTTTAAAAATAAGGTAATAGTATTATAGTTATACAGTTCACATCCAGGCATACAGTAGTGTGTCGTGGCCAAAACAACCTACAGGACACAGTGTGTGTGTGTCATTACAAAGGAGTGATAGTTTAGCGATTTTCCACCTTCTGTATGTTGGACTGTGGTAATTCAAACGATCACATATTTTCAGTGGATGAAATTTCAAGGAATCCATTAAGAAATACCTGAAATATAACATCTCCAGTTTTGATTGGGTTTCGTCCTATTTTTTTTCTTCGCACCAAAATATACGGAAACTTTATTTAATATAAATACATACTTAACTTTTATGAATTTTTTTCAAATTTGGTTCACTGATAGATCTTTACAACCTACAATTAAGAATTTCATTTGGTGTAAATAAAAGATACATGTTCAAAGTTATTAAACAAAAACGCTCTAATTTGACGAAAACTTTGCGCAGGCCTACGCAAAAGGTCACGTGAGTTAACGGTCTAACATTTGTACTACAACTTCACCTAAGAGTAAAAATGAAGCGTTTTTAGTTTTTGTCATTTGGGTTAAAGATGGCTGATTTAGAGCAGCAAAACTACAAGGTGAAACGATGTACAGATACATACGTATTGGTTAGGCCAAGCAAACTAGATTAGCAGTTTCTAGCTCGAGTTTTCAAAAGAATCATACGGGTGGACGGTTATTATTCATTATTTATTGCCAACTTTTCAGATTTACTAAGTTTTATGAAATTATCACAATTAAAGACCGTTTAGCGTCACGTGATATTAGCTTAAGCAATTAGCATGAATAGTGATGCTTGATACGGCTGTACCGATTGCATGAGGGTGATGACAAGAAACTGTTAATCTAAATTCGATGGCGTTACTATAAAGGAAGCTATATATATATATATATATATATATACCTTGTAACTGTTACAACAGATATAGATAAATATATATTTACATAGAATGGATGACGATTTCAAAGTATCGCGAACTTAAAATAACTAAAACATATTTTTTCAACACTTTTTTTAGTAACTCTTTCATTCATAGTTTTGTAAATTAATTGTTCTTTTTTGCCTCAAATTAAATCTAGTTTCAGGAACTTG